ATGGACCATGCCGGGTCGGGTCAAGTACATACCAAATAAAGTTATGGACTTAGACACTATATCCAACACGTTGTTAGTAGTCCCTCTCTCAATGTGGCAAGACCATGCATGTCAAAGAACATTTCCGCCTTGTACACTAGTCGTATGCTCCGTCTCCTTCAAATAAAGACATTTTTAGTTTAAATTGGCGATTGTCCATGTCGTGGACCCACCCATCCCATGTGCGTAGGTAGTTATTGGAGGTGGTCTGTTGTTGCCCATGATCGGTCCCATGTTGTTACTCCTTGGGATAAGATGGTCTTCGTAAAACCAAGCATCGCTTGTGTGTGGCTTGTACTTCCCATTGCTGAACCCGACCTGGAGTAAATGTAGGTGGGGGCAACAGAAATACTTGGTCGTAGGCGGTGGTGGTGGTCATGTATGGTGGTTGAACATTCATAATTGGTTGTTGGGAGCAACTACCGCCCTTGATCGTATATGATATCACTGTGGTTACCGAAGTTGGCTTAAAAGTGGTGTTAACGAGAGCAACAACTTGAGTAATGGGTTGCGTAGGTGGTGGTGGTGGTTGTGACGCTTTCAACATAAGTGCCATTAATTATGCGTGCCTTTGTTCGGCGATGACGTCTCTGATCGCATAATGGCCAATTCTTGTTTCATCCATTCAAAATGATCCGTTGAGTGTTTCTAGTTGTTCTAGTTATGCCTCCGTCATGTTGTTTATGGCATCTTGTTTATGTTGCTTGAATCAACCTTGAGTGCCATGGCTAGGAACGCCGGCTCTAATACCAATTTGATAGAAACAAATTGGAAATCAAATACTCTTAGCTTAATGCTTGCAAATAAACGATATGGGGCCCTTAACTTCGAGACTCAAGGCAATCTTGATAACAACGTAACACAAAATCTGCCTACCTTAGGACCGGCTACCCTCCCCTATTTATTCAACTCTAAACCTAAACTAGGAAACTTCTATTCCCCACTCCAAAATCATAAAAGCATAAGATAACTACTATAAGTAATACGAAAATTACTATACACCCCTTGGCCGTTGGAGATTTCTTCTTGCGTCACCGGTACACAAATCTCCATTTTCCAACTTGATTCATATCAAATTGAAGTTGTAACACAATAGAAACATATGGTTTCCTGCACCTCTATTTACCTTTGTATTTTGTCTCTTAAATATTAAGAACAGGTAGCTCCTCCACTCCCCTGTTTCTTCATTTTTCGATAGCAACAAAATCACTTTTTGCTCACTGATTTGACCGCATAACATAAATTAGAATACTGTGGTGTCGTGTTCATGTGTTATAAAAAGTTGTTGTGTCATGTCGATGTTAGCTGAAAACATGACACGATTATCTGATTTGGCAACCCTGTGCTACACAGTCATGGGAAGAAAAGGCCCAAAAAGATCAAGAGCTGCCAATCCCATTCTCAAACATATCCACAAATGATATATTGTTATTACGTTACGAGCATCAACAGGCGAACTGTTTTACTGAAGATACTGGAGTAGTGGTTACAATATTTCACAAGGACGAACGTAATCTTGATTAATGACGTACCAGACATCGCATCTGTGGCATGTTCTTGGGGTTGAAGGAAGCACATCAGCAAGCGCTGAAACATCTTTCTTTTGGTCTTTCTTTCCATCCTTCTTCTCGTCTTTCTTCTCATCTTTTTTCTCCTCCATCTTTTCTTCCTTTGCAGGTCCCACGCTTATTAGGTATGCCAATCTTTTAAACTTTCGCACCTTTCTGATGATGGATATAGGATCAGCCTCGCCAATTATCGTTGCTGTGTTTTTTGAAGGGTCAAGAACTATTGAGTTTATTCCTTCTATAGATGAAATCCACATCATGACCTTCTTCCTGCACTTTAAACAACGTAGATCCACTGACAACACTGTTTTCTGCAAACACAAATACAAAAAAAATGGTAAACTTCCTGTTCTTAATTTAATAGATGTTCTGACACCATTTACTAGGCCAATAATTGAGAACAATATTGATCGTCACAAACGACATCAAGTATGCTACGTAACCGACAATAACTGAATTAAAACAATAAGAAGCAAATAGAAAACTGTGTTAATTTTGAGTAGATAATAGAACCTTCTCCATATTAGACATGGTTAATGATGGCAATTTATTCTGTTGAAAGAAAGCTGGTATGCTATATGCTATGCACTCCTTGATTTGGTTCCGATAATGGTATGTACAGATTGTCCTCTCTCTGTGTAAAAATGAACACATCTGTAAGAAAGTAAGAGACTAAATGGATGGATACAGTTGGTTGGGCAAAATGCAGTTAGAGAGACTTAATGGTCCACCTATTACAAATGCTAGACATTTAATATCATGCACCCTCTGACACACATTGAGGCACCTCTACGTAAAAAAATTAATGCTATGTTTTCAGATAGTATGAAAGCAATATAAGTGTTTGTAAGAGTTATTATTGACGTAAAAGGGTGCTGTGTGTGCATGCATTTGTGTAGATAGATGAAAGTTTACCTTCGGAGGCATTGTAGGTTGTTAATCTGTTCTGTGATCTTTTTTCCAGCACCATGAAGGACAGTTTGTGGATGATAATTCATTAAATAACATTAAACGCAATCACCATGCCTAATTAAATTCATACAACATTGTATGAATATTTACCTTGGGTTAGGGTCGGAAAGGGACCAAAGTAGTTGGTACATCACTGTCCAACGCTTCGTGAATAATTTCTGACGAGTCTCTTTCTCTCGTATATCCTATTATTCACAATAGTTATAGAAAATAATCATGCAAATGAGGATATTATATACCGGTCCAATTTACTATCAACAAACATGTATCATAATTCATAAGCATATTGTCACAAATGTAAACTTGCAGATTGAACTTGTGCCTTGGGAAAACTACAATAAAATCCCTATATATATATATATTGGTCTCATAATCGATTTAGTCATTATATTTTTTTTTATTCAATTAAGTCCCAAATACCGGTAATCGTATTCAACTTAACCCTTTGACCCTTTAACCCTGTTAAAAGGTCATCCGACTTTCAAAAATTACATTTTTGGCCCAGATTTCAAAATTTATTACAAATTTGGTCCAAAATTTACACTTTTGGCCCAGATTTTAAATTTTGTTATAAATTTGGTCCAAAACTTTACCCTTTTTGCCCAAATTTTAGAAGTTTATTATGAATTCATCGTAACTTTAGTTTTTTTTTACAAATTTTTTTCTCAAAAAATTGTTTCTAATACGTTTTTTCTTTATAAAATCATATTTATACAAAAAAATGTATTTTCACATAAAAATCTTATATTTTCTATATAAAAACTTTTTTTTAAAATTTTTTTGTATATGAAATGTCTAGTTATAAAAATATGTATTTATTAAGTATATAAATATATACAAATCCGTTTTTATAAAAAAATGTATAC